GCATTAAGCTCTACCGAATGTCGCAAACCCTCGCGACTTCCGCTCTCAATACGAGCTGTTGTTGCGCAATATTGGCAACTGTTAAAACTCTTTTTTGTTATCAGCTTTATCTATATTATTTCGAGGGACATATACATAGATTTTTGGAAAGCCCGTATTGCGACTTTCAAGAAATAGAGAATTGATATCCGCTCCGAGCTGCCGTGTTTGTTTATTATGTAGCAATAATATACGTAAGACATTCGTAGGCCTACCATGTTTGATTTGGAGTTTTGAATTTGAAAGAAATGAAACTTCAAGGCATTCTGAAAAGACCTATACCCCCCCCCCTCCCCCTCCCCCCATTTCAAAACAATGGTCAATATAACGGTGGAGAACTGTTCTTTAAAAATTGTTGCTCTCTATACAGTTGGTGAAACATTTAAATAATCCATAAGGTGTCCCTGTAAATAGACTTTTGTGAAACGGGGTGAAGATTAAAAGCCATTTATAACGTAGAAAAACACCTGTTTATTGAAAACATTAATGAAAGATAATTTGTTTTTAACCACGCGTTGATAACAGTCGAGGAACTCAACGACCTGTGAGCTGGGGATATTTTGGTACAGATACCCAAAAACATGGAACACACATCTGAACACATTCATATAAGGGTGTGGTGTTAAGTCAGTTAGTATCATGCTGGACAACAAAGCGGATGGCCCTAGTTCGAATTCCCAACGTTTCTGAACCTGGTTTGTTCGTGGAGTTTTTATTTTTTAAAAGCCCATGTAAATTAGTCCTATCTGAGATGCACGTTACATTCAGGGGTACTGCATCTTAAATAACCTTGCAGTGTTGAAAGGGGCGTAGGGAGTGGTGGCTGTATACATTTGCAAAATTATTTTCCGCTTCAAAACTGAAAGGGGGGCTCTCGTAGTCTATATAGGTTACGGTGTTCGCTTTTCGTTCAATACGTCCAGGGTTCCGAACCTGATAGCGACTGAAAATGTTCTTCTAAAAAATTTCATCCTTCCATCTTGTTTCCTGCTCTCTCTCTCTCTCTCTCTCTCTCTCTCTCTCTCTCTCTCTCTCTCTCTCTCTCTCTCTCTCTCTCTCTCTCTCTCTCTTTCTCTCTCTCTCTGATCATGTTCTGTCGTCTACTTTCGTCTCCACTTTCTCCCCCCCCCTCTCCCCCTGTGTCCCCTCCCCTGGGCTCCTGACTCTCTGTGCAGCTTTTATACTGCTACTCCTTGGCTACTTCTTACTGCTGTCTTTCAGCCAAACCCCTGACCTTAAGGTAGGTATGAGGATGATCTAACACCTAGCCGTCTCGGATGAGGACGAAAAATCTCGGAGGTCTTGTGTGTAAGTTGCGCACCTTAAAAACTACTTGGTGAGTTGCGCACGTTAAAAACTCCTTGGTGGTCCAAAATTGATAAGAGTAGGATTCGGCCGCCACCCAGCAAAATTCAAAGTTAATTCCTACCAAACTAAAAAAGTTCGACGGGCCTTTTGCAGTTGTGAGCGCAGTAAAATACATACCAAAACAAACAAACACTCTGATAGTAAAAAGTGGTAGGGTTTGACAATGCTTGAGTAGTAACATTCCCTATCTTTATGACTACAGAGATAAATCAGAAAGAGTCGGGGAGAAAGAAGATCTAGCCTTGAGTATTCTTGTCCTTATTTCTTCCCTGAATCTTGGAAAACATTGTAAAGTTCAAGCGGGAGAGGAAAGTTTGATGGAGACTTCCGGAATGTTTGTTTCAAGGAGGTGGAAGGTAATTCCGAGCCCACCTGGTTTAGAGCATCTACCTACTTTAGTTATAGTGTGATTCACGGCCCCTGCAACACAATAAGGTCATATAAAAGTAAAGTAAAGTTGTTCCCGCACCCGGTCCGGACATTGGGGATTGCCTTGTTAGTGAGACAACTTGCTGGGCCTTCGGCATATTGTGGTAGGGCGGCCAGTTCCTTTCCACGCCGCCTTTACTTCCCCAACTCGAAGTCAGGTACCCATTACTGCTGCGTGGGCAGGAGAGGGTGAAAAAAAAATCCGTGTCCGAACCGAGGTTCGAACCCGGACTTTCCGTTTCGGAGAGGAGCGCCAATGTCATTTAAGTGCCGAAATTTAGAAGTGAAACAAGAGAGTAACAAACGCAAAAGAGAAGGAAGAGAAATCAGGACGATAGATGTTTGACAGAATAGAAGGAGCAAATCACACCAGAGCATCCGCCAACCACCCGCCATCTACTTAAGTTCTCGGAGTTCTACAACTTTGTAACCAACTACATTGGCTTAACTCAAAGGAACGCGCACTTAAACTATTCTAATATATGTTCTAAAAAAGTATTTGTTTAGAGAACAGTAAAGAGTATCTGTGCCCATACTGTAAAAAAAATAAAATACTATGTTCTTGTTTTCAGGCTCTCATCGACACATTAAAAATAATTTAGGAGGCCGGTTTCGATCCTGCCTGTGAGGGCTAACCCGGGCTGAGAAGGCACAACGTCCCAAC